GGTTTGAAAAAATGGGCTTGCTTTACTTTGTTGCTCTGATTGGGACCAAATTCTATTTGATCTTCCTCTACCTACAAAAAAATAGAGCTTTAGACTTCAATGGTACACCTCTGTACAGCAAAAGATGTATAAATTCGTTCTTTTTCCGCCGCTTCCCTCCATCAGCAGAGCACAGTGGGAGCTCCAGGCTCTACTGCTGCAAATCCAGTGGCTCACCTGAAAGCAAGCGTGTGGCTTTGCTCTCGGCTTGCTCATTTGCGAGGGTAGAAGTTAGCATTTCATGTTTTCAGGGCATGCCGTAAATACCGCCCAGCATTCCATGCTCTGATTGCTTGAAATTGTCTTCTTCCTTGAATACTTTCTGTGTTATCAATAGGAGCCTGCTTGGCAGACAGCTCCACAAATGGAGGACTGTCCATGATTTGCCTGGAGTTTGTTGCTGAAATTCCTTCTCAGAAGCTTATGTCAAATGACAGCCTTTTTCTCAGGGTAGGGTCATATAGCGTTTCCTCAGTGTAGTTGCTCTTTATTTTTGGTTCCTGTTCTTTCTCTCATAATGGAAAATCTGTAACAGGTGGCCACAGGCACAGCAGACTTTCATGCTTGGGAACATAAAGGACCATATGCTGTATGATGGCATGTATGGAGATAATAAGTTGTAGGAATAGGCAACCAGCTTATATGTAAAATACGAGCTGGCCTGAATTTTCTACTCAAGCTTGGCTAAACTAAAACTTTCTCCGTTCTCAGCTGTGCTCGGTTGTTTTTCTGTTTTGCTGCCTACTAGCTGGTTTCAGCTGGAAGTGAATTTTTTTCAATTTGCGAAGAGGAATGTTCTGACATTTTTACCAGACACCCTGGGTGAGATCCGGGACCCTTGAAGTCAGTTGGACTTTTGCCATTGGCTTTAATGTGGCCAGAATTTCACTGCATGAGAACTTTTTTTTTGGTTGGTTCTGGATAGGGTATGTCAGAAAATAACAGGCATCTTCAAGAGGGGATTTTTTTGTGAGATTTTGGACCACGTGCTTTCTTGGTCTCAAAGTGGTCATTCTGCCTCCAGAAGACAGGATGACGCTTATCCAGCATAAACCTTCTCTTTAATATTGCCGTATTAGTGGTGAATGGCTATTGACCTTTAGCTTCCTTTTGTTAGGCAACTTGCAGTAAGAGTTTAAATTCTCTTTGGAAGAGCCTGTTTGTGAATATATGAAATAACAAAAATAATGTTGGTTTAAGCTGAATTCAGCCCAGGCTGTGCAGCGTTATTGACCCAGAGGTTGTACCATTCATCATTCAGCCGCGAATTTGGGTCTATTAGCTGGCATCAGGTGCTATAGACATTGGATTTCCCTATTTCCCAGTATGCTAAACTGACTTCTAATTCTGTATTCTGGGTCTTGGCCAAGATGAGATTTTGTGTGTTTGTTTTGTTTTTCAGAGGCTGCTTAATCTCAGTCTCTAGTTTTTAAGGAAGAGAGAGGTGGAATTCATGAATATATGAAAGTTCAGGAGATCTGAACATAAGGAAGAAATAACATTGTATTTGGTCAGAAAATACTCTTTTTAAAGATCTTACAGATACTGTTGGCTGCTTAAAGATACGCCAGAACTGTTTGTGTGAAAAAAGTACAAGTGAAACTGGGCTAGCCCAGATTAGTTATCAGAAACCTAACCTGTTTTTTTTGCTTGTTTTGTTTTATCCACACACACCCCGCCCCGACGGTGGGGCAAATTCATTTAGCAGTTGATGATCTTGCATATTTTTCCACTCACACAAGTGCAGTTAGAAATGCTATGAGAAGATTACTGTTAAGGTCAGAACAAGTAAGACAGAATTTGTGTGCAGGCAGGGTATTTTAAGGGAGTTAGGGGGAGAAAAAACATTTTTAAGGGATGTATACAATGGAAAGGATGTATATACATTGCATACAAGGAAAACTTCTTGAGTCTCTTTATCTCACTGTACTCTCTTATTTAGGGTCCTGTAATTACAGGCTGATAATTTCTTCCTGAAATACAAATTGAGTAGATCTGTATCTGATCACAGGCTTAATGCAGTTTTGAAAAATCTTTTAATTTAGAACTCTCATCCTTCGCAAAAAGCTTACCACAAAACACAACTTTTCACTATAAATAACTTCAGTCCGTACACAAGGTCTTGTGCTTGTCCATCAGTACTACCATCTTTTTTTTTTTTTTTTACATTAAAAAAAAGTAGTCAGATTTTATGTTTTCAAAACCAACAAGTGCTCAGAATATCTTGTAATGACTGCCCGTGGACTGGAGGGCAGGGAAGAGAGTTGAAATGGAAAATGAATTAGATTCTTAAGCTGTGGAACGGGGAACATTCCTGCACAGAGAAGCGACTCTGGAGATAAGTTTTAATTTCCTGAGCTCCAGTCTCTATATAGGAACATTGAAAGACTTCCTTCCTGATAACCAAGTCAAGCCAGGGGCTATATTAAACGATGTGTTTCTGTATATAATTGCGTGCTTGTATATGTATTTGCATACTCACATATAAATACAAATAGTGTACCTGTAATGATAGAAGTCAACTTTTAAACGTGTTCAAGGTCTGGCATATACACTGCGCCTGAGATGTCGTAATACGTCAATATCTATTTAGACTTGTATAAAGGATCTCTTTCATACTTTGTCTCTACGTAAAAAACAAAATCCAACCAAAAATAAAAATGAAAAAAACACTCTCCCCAACCACTTGTCTTGCATTTGTAAGAGGATCTGGGTTATGGCGTGCCTTTAAGAACGATCAAGTGACTGAGGTAGATGTGTTACAGATTTCTAATGCATATATATCCTGTATATGCAATATTGTTATAACCATTTCTGTCTTACTAAAGTCTCATTGTTCAGTGATTGCTTAGGCAAAACCATGAAGCTCACTATGAGTGATATCTTAGTAAGCATTTCAGGAGCAAATACTAGGAAACTTTTTCTTTGTTTGTTTACAGAAGGCACAAAGCATTTACAAAAAAAGTATAGGTCACCCCAAATTCTGCATTTATAAAAATTAGTTTCAGAGTCTCAGGCTATGTTTCCTTTTAGCAATTAGTTTCTAGTAAAAGTATTTTAATTTGCTGTTTCCGTCTTTGGTTCTTTCTTTTTTTAAAGTGAATCTCACAGTTTTTCTTTATGTATTATAGGATTTTGGGATAAAACCATGTGTCTAAATAAGTAATATTGTGCTAAGCAGAGCCACGGTATAATTTGCTTTGTGAAGCACAGATTTACTTGAATTCCAGACCATTGTCTAGATATCCCAAACTATAAAATAAAATTACTTACATCCCTCATTGCTGTTTGTGTAACAGCATCAGAATTAAAGGTGTTACTGAGCTGTTCTATGTTTATCAGTTAATCTAGTCTAATGTCAGATACATTGCTTAATTTCTGTGAGCTTTTAGTATTATAGGTTTTAGTTCCACTTGTCAATAGCTCTTTCTTACAATTAATTTTTTTCGTAATCATTCATAATAAAAAATTAGCCCCAGAATATCTATTTTGTGTCACAGTGAGAGAATTTGTATCGGCTTATATGATTTTAGAAAGCACCGAATGTAAATATATTGATGGTATACAAGATCGGAAAACAACTTTCAGTTATTTCTAAATCGGATAAGCCTATTTATTGTATAAATGGAACTTTATAGACTGTGTAGTTGTTTAACTTTTTCTTTAGAGTGACTTTGGAAAAAGGGAAAAAAGCCGTAAACTTAAAGAGATTCTGATGGTGCTAAAGTGTTGCCAAGCAAACCATAAAAGATAAGTCAAACTGTAATTCTATAGAAGAGCTATGAAATACTTCTATGTACGTGCTGTAGTTGTTTTTGGGTTCCTGAAGCTGCTTGTGTGTAAAGTCAGCTGTGGAAATGGCTAGCTAGCGAAAAGCTATGATTCCTGCAGCTTGACTGTTGTGGGGAGATTTTTTTTTCTGTGAAAACAGTTGTAAAGTGGAACATCTGAAAAATATGTTCCATGCAAAATGGATCTTCACACACATTTATTTTGACATTTAGGTTTGATTTGAGAGAGAGAGAAGATTCTGAAATAGCCATTCACAGATGGCTTGTGCGGGTTTTTTTTTTTTTATATGCTTCTCTGTGTTTTTGGTTTGGGGTGGATTTTTTTGCATGTGTTTGCAGACTTGTCAATCCCCCTCTTCCCCCCAATCACGTTTAATTTTTTTATGACTTGAATTTTTGTCCTTTTTTCCAGAAGCTGATATTTAAAAAAGTAAAAAAAAAAAAAAAGGAAAAGGGTCAAAAACCTCTCACCCCAACCCCAAAACAACAACAAAAAACCACCCCAAATCAACTAACCAAAAAAACCTCCTCAACCGCCACGGCCCCCAACCCCTACTCACTACCCAAAGGTATAGCTTCCTCTGATAAAACTTTTCTTGGCAGTGAGCGAGAATTTATGTATTTGTAGACTTTGATAATACAGTGGAAAATATTTCAGGAAGCACCAAATTCTCCCATCTGGGTGCGGGGAGCCCAGAGGGCCGCATGCTCTCGACTCGGGGAGCGTGGCCGGCAAAACCTGGTGCATGTTCAGTCAGAGGGGTGAAATGCAGACTTGGTGTATCTGGCCACCCTGGCGCAGGGCGGGACTCGACCTCTGTAGCCTTTGCTGATGGGAATATCCTTTCCAGGTGGGAGTCAAGAGTGAATTGTTAGAGCCTGTCTGTTTTCTTTTGAAGGTACTGAGTGAAAGCCGTTGCCGTTAAATTGTGGTTGTGAAACGTGCCTGAGAAGCAGGTCCATCTGTGTGTGAGGAATAAAAACTCTAAGTGGCGCTGGTAATCTCTTCTTTGTGAAATGTCGGTGCAAAATGTCCTTGTATTCCTACTGTAATTATGAAATAAATATTCGATGTATTCAATTATTTTTCTTTAAGGAAACCAGATGTTGAGCTTGCACTGAGCTTGCCATCAGTGATACATCTCTTGTTTGTTTTGTTTTTAATCCCAGAAGAAGTTAGGTGTATACAACAAGATGCAGGAGTCTCTGGAAGTGACCCTTCCCAGCAAGCAAGAGGAGGATGAGAAAGACCAGCCTGCCGAGATGGAGTACCTTAACTCTCGCTGCGTCCTTTTCACTTACTTCCAGGGAGACATTGGCTCGGTAGTGGATGAACACTTCTCAAGAGCTTTGAGCCAAGCCAGTAGCTTCAATCCAGAAACTGCCCTTACCAAGAGCAAGGCAGGGCTAAGTCCTCTGTGGAGAGGTAAGAGGAGCAGTAACTTGCTCTCTGTGGTGTGGCTTACTCGGTCTGTGTCGCGGTAACGCATCTTGCATTGCAGCTGAAATTTTGCTTCTCTGTGGAGGTGGAAAAATCCCCCTCAAATTTGAAAGAACCGAGTTGCTTCTTAGGGTTGAGTGATCTGAAGTGTTAAAGGGGGAAAGAGGCGCCAAAGGTGTGGAAGAAGCAGGCATCTCCCTCTCTTGCCATAGCCCGCGGCTCCGCTGAGGCCTGCAAAGAGCGGGGCAGAGCTCATGTGGCTTCACAAACGTCTGCTGCAAGGTTGGAGGCTTATGTTTAAGCTCCAAGTGTGAAACTTGGCCTGCGAGTCAAGAGCAAAGCTGTTCGGGATGCTGGCCTTGGACGTGAGGAGACCCATGCAGCCTTCTCGGGTGACTCTGCCAGGCGATTAAGATTTGTCTACGGCTGCTTTCCAGGTAGGGAGGAGCCAGCACAGGCTGGAGCAGGCTTGGGAGCAAGCCCTGGCCCACGTGGCTGCAGCCGTGTGGTGTGGTGCATTGCAGCCTGCCCGCGGGCAGAGCTCATGGCTGGTGCATTGCAGCCTGCCCACGGGCAGAGCTCACGGCTGGTGCATTGCAGCCTGCCCGCGGCAGAGCTCATGTGCCGGTAAGACGCTATTTCCATTTTCTTGAATGTGGCAGCCTGGGTAGTTTTTCAGATCCACAGCTGCATTATTTCTGATCATGTCCTTATGTGGACTGGCAAAGGGCCGCGAACTAAGTGTTGTGAGTAATGGCCTTGCATCGGTTGACGGAGAGAGATACCGTGAGGATCCTTGTAGGAGTGGTGGTGTCGTAATCAGCGACGTTGAGGTGAGAGTGTGTTGATGAAAGTCACAGATAATAAAGAGAGACAGGATTTTTGGAAACCGCTGTGAAGAGAAAAATAGCACAGAAGGACTTGCTTTCCAGAAGGATGATGACAAATCCGAGGAAGTTTAAGCAAAGGTCAGCACAAGTGGCTAGGGAGCTAGAGGAATTTATGGCTTGAGCCGGGACCATTAATGTTAATGGGAAATTTTCCGTCGACTCGACTGAGAGCAGGATTGAACCTATGCTTACTAAAAAGGAGACTGGAGCATTTATAAATGGCCCAGACAGGCTATAAATGTTTTAGAGATGGGATCAAGGCAGTCCCCAGAGACCCCATGCCTACAGCAAGCCCTCTTACTGAGCTTGGAGACATACCATGGGTGGGGTTGTGTGTCTTCTCTTTGGCCTCAGACATACCCTACTGGTTTTCCCTGGCTCCGCCATGGTTGCGCAGCCCTCCCCAGAGGGCTCTGCAGAGGACAGGGTGGCCTGGCATGAGGGTTCTTCAGCCATGCTGCCTTCTGACCCAGCGTGCCCCTTGCCATCGGCAGGGAATGGAGGTCTGCGTGTCCTGAAAGTCTTCTGGGAATAAAGTAAGGGGATATGCCCTCTGCCGTCACTGCACCTGCTGAAGTGGTATGAAAAGCCCCAGGAAGGCTGCTGGGCAGGGCTGCTCGGTTCTGCGCTGTGGACGCTGAGAAAGCTGAGGGTATTTGCTTCTCCAGAGAAGAGAAGCTAACAAGAGTTTTATCAGGCCCAAATGAGTTTCTGAAACATGCCTGCTTGGAAAAAGTGGGGAAGGAGTGATGCTAACACCTTGGTCTTCTGGTTCACGTACAGTTGTCAAAGATGCTCAGTTACAGCAAATGGATGTGAATTTGTATCCCATTCCCTAAAGAAGTTAAAATATCATTAGCTTGAAGATCTTTTATAAATAACCTTCATGGGTAGTCACAATTTTTGTCAATAAATTACTCGAAGATAAATTAAAAAAAAAAAAAGCGCTTTCGCGTTTGCAATAGCTGTTTTGGAAGGTACAGATTTAAATGGGAACTGTGTGGGCATGAACTGGCTACTCAGCTCACTGCGTTATTTCTCCTTTACATGAAAAGAGGGATTAGTAATGTTTTTTGCTTTTTTGTTTTCATCTTGTTGTGGGTTTTTTTTAGTGTCCTGATGGAAGAGCAAACTGTAATTTCATCATTAAGGTGATATTGTGCGGTTTTTTGTTTCTAGGAGGCATTTTGCTTATGTATAGAAAATAGAACCTGTGGTCCTGAAAAGAGCAAGTTTTCATCTTGTGTGTGTTTAAAATACTGATCAGTTTAGGATAAAATTAACTTCAAAGCTGACTTTTTATAAAATTAAAAAAAAAAAAAAAAAAAAAGTCCGGTAACATTGACTTTGAATATTCAATTGTAGGGGTAGCTACCTGAAATTTTGCAGGGGCTAGTGAAACAAGCGATACCTTGAAAGTAATGTTACCTCAATTATATTTTTATCAACATGTTTTTCCTAGCTGAAAGTGTTGGGGTTTTTTCTTTCTTGGGTTTTGGTTTTGTTTTTTTTCCTCTTGCCTTAACTGAGAAGAAGTGTTGTACTACAGAAAATTCCATACATTGTCTTCTTTACAGCGTGTGCGCTTTGGCATCTTTTCAGTGCATGTTGGCCAGCCACCATGAACATTTGCATTAGTCACCACTTTGTGGTATCTGAGGTGTTGCCATCTCCCTGCCTCCCTGTACTTAGAATAGGAAATTGTGGTAACTGTAGTATCTTTCCTGGCAGACAATTTTTGTCAAATGCCTCCTTCCCTGCTCCTGAAATCCCATGGAAGCTACTCAGATTTTTTTTTTTTTTCCTTTCTCAAGGACAGTGCTGAAATAGCTGTTTCTCCTTTGCCATGTCCCATAGAGGCCAGGTATCTGACATGATGGTATCTGTAAAGATAATTGATTGTGCTCGCTGTTTTAAACGCGGGAGGGAAAGGAGACCCTTCAAACACTGTGGAAATGTATGTTGGTTGGGGTTTGTGGTTCAACACAGAGATAGTTCTTGTTGATGGGGTTGCTGCGCACTTAATATTTAGTAGCATCCTCTGTGAGCGCTCAGGATGAAGTTTTCCTGCATGTTCGTGTAACCTGGATGGACCCTGTATCTCCAGTGGTATGACTTGATCCTGACCAGTGAGGTTGGTCTGTGCAGTTACACTCAGTGGTGTCTCGGTGGGGGCTGATCCATGGCAGTTTCTGACAGTGGTAATGGCTTTGTGAAATGTGCACAGATTTGAAAAAAGGAGGTGACCAAACATGTTTTCTGTGGCCTAGACCTTCTGCATGATTGGTAAAGCCCAGCTGGTATGCAATCTGGGATGAATTCATATTGGCAAATCCAGTAGTTTAAAGTGCTCTCTCCTGGTATTAAAATTGTCCTGCAGATACTTTGTGGTTTTCTGTGCTTTTTTGAAGTGAGGTGGTTTGGATTTAGGGCTTTTCCATACAGATAACAGCCAGATAGTTTCCAAAAACTCTCGATTACAGAGATTAATTTTCCAGAATACTGGCAATGCATTGTCAAGCTGTGCTCCTCTGTTAAGCACTAAGGAAAACAACAGACTGGACATGAAGAAGCTTGGTTTTGCTTTTTTTTGTCAGCTCTGCTGCCAACACTGTAAGCCGTGTGCACTCTCCATCTCAGCCTAATCCCTTGTAACAAGGAACAATTTACAAACAAGGAAGAACAATACCAATTTCGGAGGAGTGTTGAGGCTTCTGTTGTATGCTTGAAGCTCTCTCCAGTCTTCTAGCACGAATTACAATAGAAATATGTTGCTAAAAAAAGAAGCAACCTTTTGAAGAAAGCCATGTTGGAGTACCATCTGCTAGATAAGCTTGCAGCCTCTGAAGCAGTTTGGCACAAAGAGAAGTTCTCTATGTTTGTCCATAGTACATTTGTAAAGTTTATTTCCAATATCGGAAGTTAATCAGGCTCAATAAATTGCCTAAATCAAAGCCAACTGATATGTGGAAAAAAATTCTATGGTTTTAATGGCTTTTAAAACAGATACATAAGTGTCCTAGTGATGCAGTCAGAAAACACTTTTACAGTTTTTGTTTCCAAAATATTTTTATGTAAGCAAAGTTGAGAGGCAGGAGCATTTGAAGAATCTGTTCATTCTCAATGGTGTCTTCACCCAAGTCTCATTCCAGTTGCTTGTTAAACAAAGCAAAACAAAAGGTAATTTAAAAAAAAAAAAAAAATTTTTGTAAATGTTATATGAGGAACAGAGGATTCCTCGCCACATCAAATATTAAACTTCCTTGGCTTTATTTCTCCGTAGGCTATTTTTATGATTGTTCTTTCATCAGAGGTAAAATCCTGTATTTTTATGTTTCCATCTTTCACCAAAAAACCCCCTATTTGAGCTGAGACATATTGCATGAAGCAGTACTTTCAAACATGACCTGGCAAGAGGATTGTGAGAATGGAGATGCCAATACTTTCCTACACATCAAAAACACTAACCGCTCCTTCAAAAGAGGAATTTTTAGAATGTGATTTCATAATGTAGAGATATTGGAATCCATTTAAATATAAGTTGAGCCCTAGCTGTAAGATGCAGCGAGTCTTTTATTTCTGACAAAAACTTCTTTCAGTTACATAGATGATTCTGCTTGTCTGATCCTATTGGGTACAGGGCAGCGTGATATATTCTGTAAGGGACTAACATAAGATGCGTTAGCTATGACCTTTATCCCATCAAAGCATGCAATTAGTTTGAGAAGATCTGGTATTCTTCCTTTAGCCAAATGTCTCATATTCTGCAGTGTGACCTGGTTCTCTGTCCTCAGAAGCATTTACAGCCACAACAGCTGCCTTTCTAAATGATGTGTTCTGGTCCGGTCAGAAGTTAGCCTCTGCTCATGATTCCTGTACCAAGATCCTGAGGGAGCTGCGACTCTTCAGCCTGGAGAAGAGAAGTCTTCTTGGGGCGATCTTATCCATATGTGTAAATAACTGATAGGAGAAGGGGGAGCCAGGGTCTCCTCAGTAATGCTTGCTGACAGGACAAGAGGCAATAGGCACGAATTAAAAAACAGGAAATTCCATCTGAACGCAAGAAAACACTTCTTTTTTTCTTTTTTTTCTTCTTCTTTTTTTTTTTTTTTTAAATTGTCGAGGGTGGCTAAACAGTGTTACAGGTTGCCCAGAGAGGTTGTGGAGTTTGGATCTCAGTCAAAATCTGACTGGACACGGTCCTGGACAACCGGCCCCAGGTGACCCCACTTGAGCAGGGGGGTTGGACTAGACAATCTCAAGAGGTCCCCTCCTACCTCAACTGTCCTGTGATTCTGTAATTGCTGAGGAAGCTTGAATTCAGTGTTACAAAATTTCAGAGAGTAGAAAATCATTGTGGGGTTTTTGTCATTAAATTTGTTGTTCAGCTTCAGTCATACTTCATTTCTCTCCTCTCTACCAGAAAGCTCAACAATTTCAAGCCAAAGGAGCAGTTTCCCAACTTCATTTTGGACCAGCTCTTATCAGCCTCCCCCTCCACCATGCTTAAGTGGAGTACACCCTGATTTCCCCGTTACTGCACCAGGCACCTTCCCAACACCAGACCCCAGCAGCTGGCCAGGACACGGCCTTCATCAGACTGCCCCACCTCCTCCCCCTGCTGCATCTGAATCCTGGCATTATCCTTTAGCATCTCAGGTGAGCCCTTCGTATGCACACATGCATGACGTGTACATGCATCGCCATCACCCTCATCCACACATGCACCATCACCATCCCAGCTCGCACCGCGACCCCCGGTACGGGTCCCTGCTGATGCCTTCAGTCCGCGCAGCCAGGATTCCTGCTCCCCAGTGTGACGTGACAAAGACAGATCCCGCTGCTGTCACCAGCGCTACCTCAGCATGGGCTGGAGCCTTTCACGGAACGGTGGACATTGTGCCAAGTTTTGGGTTTGACACAGGTAAGATGGTTCGATTGTGTCTGTGACTTGTTTTAGCAGGAAGAATTTGAGCAAAGTGAGCTCCCTGCAGCTGAAGCAGGGCTTGTTCTCAGAGCCTTCTCCAAATGTATTTCCAGGTGGGAATCCCTCCTGAAATTGCTGTCAGGGCAGACGAGCTGTGAAACGTCCAGCCCTCGCTGCCTTTTGCTGAGAGACCTTTGTCTGCCTTGGTCCCATTCAAGCCAAATGAGTTGTGACATGATACGCGTTTTTTGGTTTAAATCTTGTGGGAAATGGTTAATTAAACTTCCATGTGAAAGCTTCCAGCTTGTTCAGCTAGTTCATATGTGCATTCACCAAAATATAGCTCCAATGAGGACTGAACTAATAACTTGTCAGTACATGAGGACTGCATCTTACTCATCTAAATTGGAACAGATCAGCATTTCCTTCCTGCGTAGTATCCAGGTGTCACATAGAGAGAGTAGAGATGCTGGTTGAGCTGTGCTCGCCATCAGACTAAACTTCTTTCTCTACGGTCTAGGCAGAGGTCTGTGAATTAGATTCATTTTACTGCAGGGTCTGTAGCCATAGGGCAGCCTCCATGAACTACATCTGCATCTGCGAGCTTTGACTGGCAGGCTCTCGTCTCAGTGTTAGGAGCAGTCTAGCAGCCCTCACTGTTCACAGTTGCTGGCGATCAGGTGATGGGTGACTAACAGTTTCCAGCACATCCATCCCGGAGCTCATCTGCACTGTTGAGGTCTCCTCTTTCTGCTTGGTATTTATCTGACCAGCAGCAATCCTTGCAGATTAGTACTTCTTAAACACGTTATGTTATTTATTAAGGAAATACTAGGTTTGCATCTCTCTTCCTTTTTCCTTAAGGTATCTGTTTGTCTGTCTTCTTGATAGCTCTAACTGATTCAATGTGTGAGAAGCACTTCCTTGCTTTGATCAGTGTGCAGGGGAACAAAGAACTGGTGGAGAAAAAAACGCTCTTTCTTAAATATGAAATAATATGAACCCAAAACCCAATTATAACTGAGCTAACCTAACACAAATCTCTCTTCCCTTAATAGCCACTGGGAACCAATAATCTCTTCTAAATTCCATGCCATTTGCTGCCTCAAGAAATTAAGAAAAAACGGAATAGCGTTCTTAACACTGGACAATTTCATATCTATTAATAACATTTGCAGCCATACCAATGATAAAAGAGGAAATACCTTTTGTGCTTTTGGGTGTAAAATGATAATCTGACAAGACTGGGATCTCGAGTTTTGCCTTTCTGACAAATTCCGTAATGGGAGTGAGCTGCCTTCTCTGAAGCATGAGCAAATTGTCCCTGCCACCGGTAGAGGGGACGAGCCCCCTGGTCTGACAGTAGCCCCAGCAGCCCAGCTCCAGAGCGCTGGTATTTGACTTACCTTTTGGGGATGGAGCCGAGAACTGCGTAAGGGATTGTTAGTCAGGAGAAACCGCTACCTGGCTTAGGTAGGAGTCCAGCCTAGGCTGTGAGTTGATTCAGTGCTGGGCAAGTTGGTTTGCTTACTGCTACTTTGTTGGTAGTAGTACGTATAATGAACCAGGTGCTTTTTCTCTTTTCTGTAGGAGTACAGTACCTCAAAAAGGACTATGGGTCCTAGCACTGTCTTACAGGGCTAATACAGCCTTTGCTTGTTGCTGCCTGCTCCCTGTGAAAATCCCTATGGAGGGGTACAGTTGAATGCTAATTTTATCAGGATCCTGATTTGGCAGTGCTTAACAGTGGCTTGCATGTCTTGTAGTTGTCTACGCAGCGTGGGAGGCAGTGGAGAAGGTCTGAACTGTTAATTTCTGGCCCGTGCCTGGTGTGTGGGTTTTAGTCCATGAGTTTGTGTGGGGGAAAAGAAAAAGGGGAAATGTGTGACTAGTTTGCAGGAACAGAGGATCTCAGCAGAGCAATGTCTCGCTTGTTTGTGACTATTCAAAACGGCCACGCACTGAAACACAACAGCAAAACCTTATCGGGCAGCCCCAGTTTGGCACATAAGGCCTTGGAAACAAGGAAGCAAGCAACGAAACACAGCGGGTAGTGGTAGCCTGTGACATTACATTTGCTCCCTTGCCCTGCACACTCAGCTATCCTGTGCTCTTCAAGCAGAGGCTTGCTGGGACGGGCAGGAAGACTCTGAGCTCCCTTTTCAGCCTTGCCTGCAGCTTGTAGATTTGAGACAAATGCTTTGGTGACAGGCATTTGAGGCGTGATCATGGTGAAAAGAGGGAGCTTAATTGCCCCAGTGTTTTGTGTGCATCTCAAATGGTGTCATCCCAGGGAAGGTGTGTTGTGCTGCCAGGGAGAGGAGGGGGCTGCTGAAGCACCACACTGAGTCGCATCCGGCACTCACCAGCACAGGTGAAGCTTTTCTTGCTCTCTGTCCACTCCAGGGGAGGATTATACTGGATAAGTCTCCACATCACACAGAATTTCATCACATTTAATTCTAATGTGAGACAGCAGTCTCAACAGAGAGGCTAAAAACTGAAGGACCTGGAAGAATGTACTGGTTTTCTGCAGCATAGAAGTGGTTTCTCCAGAGTAGGGTAAAGCCATAGTGGCAAGAGAACTTCAGTTCTGGAAGGCTTTGCTCATATGTCCCTGGAGAATAAAAGACATCAACCTGTGGAGCTGTCAATATGTCAGATTCCATGACCTTTAGATGATTTATATAAAAAAGCTCGTTTGGTATATACCTAGACATTGCTTTTCAGAGCCCTTCAGATAAGAAAATGATTCCCTGCCCCTTACTGTGGGTCACATTTCTTGTGCTACTGTCACATGCGATTACAGAAACATTTGCAAAATTCCTCACGCTGAATTATATGGAATGATAGTGTTGGGATCAGGGCAGGCTGGCTGTAATCTTACCCTTTTCCAGCTACATTGTTGCATCTCTGCCATATTAAGCCAAATGTTCGATCTCATGAATGGATGATGCTCAGTCACTTCAGAGGTTAAGAGGGGGTTCCCCTTGCATGCGCGGTATAGTTTGGGAATTTATGTTTCAGAACAGATTGTGTGGGACATTAGCGTATCACCGTTCATAGAGCTAACAAACTATTGATCTGTCTTGCACATCTGTTTGAACTTACATGGTCCTGTTTTAGAGGATGAAGAGGGATTTAGCTACCTGATTCCCATTAAAAGTGGCTTAATCCTCACATTGTGTGCTGCAAATTAACTCTTTTGGAAGCTTCTTTATTAGTACAAGTGGGATTAAAGAAAATGCTGGTCTACATCAAAAATCTATTAAAACCTGTTAAGTTTGTGGCTGCTGGTATGCAGTGTCTTTCCAAAGCTGAAGTGCCCAAGCTATAATGCTCAATATAAAAGTATGTTTTATATCAAGCATTGATATAAACACATTGATATAAGCACAACATGTTTGTGCTTTAGATTGCAATTCCCTGCCCTACCGATGTCAAGCAAAGCCCCTAACAGCATTGACTGCAGTTCACGGCATACGTACAGAGAGCATTGCTATAGCCGTAATCCCACAGTGTCGGGGGTAAATCCTCATGTTTACGTTAAGGGTGCGCAAGCCAAGTTGAGCACTTAAGACCAGGCAGGCGCGGGGAGGGGAATTGCTGTCTTGCAGGGGAGCTGATGGTTACGGCCATCAGTGTTTTCCTCAGGAGCAGGGCGGGAGGCTGCCCTGCATACCGGGCACTTCAGGTGGTCAGTCGGATCTGGCTGCGCTGGCAGCTGCCAGGTCTGTGGGGAGGAGAGCAGAGCAACTTGCCCTGCTACTGCAGAGCCTAGGAGGATATCCCGTCCTGCTGTTGGACAGATGTGCTTGGAGGAGGCTTCCTGTAGCCCCAGCACACTAGAAGCAGAGCAGGATTTTGGCATATCTGAGGGCTGTAAGTCTAGCTTAAAATTGAGGTGCACATCCTTTGTCATGCAACGTTATGCACATTGAAGTGCATAACTTTAAATTAGGTGAATTAATTGACATCCTCTAGTCCTGGCTAACTACGGAAAGTCCACTTTTGGAAATGCTTGTACGTCAGTGTGTCACGTTGAATTTGAGTGGTCAGTCTACTTGCCTTCTGTAGAGTTGTCTCTGTTCACACACACCCCATGAGTTTGTCACAACTCACTAAGTTTGTTTAGATGTTCCCACAGAGCCTGCATTCTGCTTGTGTGGCAATTAGCTATAATGTTGGTATCCCAGAAAAGGGGAGTTGTGCTGCTGTGGCAATACTGACTCCTGCAACGCAAGCGAGGATGTCTTTGCTAAGAGTAAAATGTTCTTGCAGCAGGCTGCAAGTGAAAGCTTTCGGTTAGTTAGCAGGGTTGCACTTGGATGACATACTAGGACTGCAGATAGCCTTGCCGTGAAAGAGATGGGAATATAATGAGGAAAAGGCATGGAAAGTGTTCTACATTCAGTTCTGTAACTAAGGCAACTTTGGTTTTTTGGATTGTTTTCTGTGGCTTTTTAGACTTAATAGCTATACATCAAACCTCCTTGTTACAGTTATTTCTGTGTGTTGCAAAGACACCTAACTAGGAAGGTGTCTGTTCAGCTGGTTATTCCCCTTCTACTAGTTGCTACCATAAGGTGGACATCCTCTTAAACAGGTGTGTGTGTGTCTTTTTTTTTTTAAGCTGCTAGGAGCTATATAACCTGTTTCTCTTCTCATCAGCTTCTGTTGCCTCTGGTGGCCTTTAATACTCCACTGGTGAGCTTAAATGACTTCCTTACACTCTGAAAGGTTTCTGCTGTCTGACTCCCTCTTTTTTTGTTGTTGTTGTCTTTGTTTAAAAAAGTTGTAAACAGCAGGGGAAAAATAACACAAAATTGTCATCACTAACTTTGAGGGAGCTTTGAAGACAACTAACAGCAGTTTATGATGACTTGCCTGTGAATGATGCTGCCAGGAAAACAAGTAACTCTTAAGCAACAAGGAGGCACCCTCATTGAGTAAAGAGCCTCTGAACATGTTTTTATAGGCATGCTTTAGTTGAGGGATATCCCAATTTTTTCCAATCTAAAGAAATGGGTGCAAGGGCATGTGAAATGGAGCAGAAAGCCACTGAACGGGGTTTGGCGTGCTATACCTGTGTGCTCTGCTTTCCCTGCCTGTTCACTGCTGGACACACAAGTGTTTGGACACTGCTTGGGAATCCTCACATGGATAGAGCCATATGCTGTCATCTTTTATGTGACTGTTAATTGCTTTGTAGCGCAACTCTGAAATGATTGTTGGTCGTCATTCAAGGTTTAACTGTTTGTACTCCTAAAACAAGGAGGTGGTGGTCAGATCTGAACCCATCATGCCTATTAGGCTTTCTGAAAACGTACGGGTCTTCCTTTGGTTTCACTATGTGACCAGATACGGAAATGAGAGGTCCATGCTTAGCACATGGATCTGTCAATTCTCACAGGTTAACGATCAAATGAGCACGGAGCTTCAATGGTTGCAAAACCATTGAGGTCTGGAGTTGCACCTACTTACATTAGTGGTGAAATTGGCCCTAAATTCTTAGCAGCTCAGGTAGTTGATGTATTGGTCTTGGTACACTGTGTAGCAGGGCAATACATAGTATGACACAGAGCGGAGCACGGCTGTCTATGTAGCAATGATTTATAGTGGAAGTGTACCTTCATTTCACGAGTTGTGATTTGCTTGGCTCAAAACGTCAAGGGGCAGGTTTTAAATCAGCAAGTCCAAAGCGCCTTACTGCCTCTTAAAATATGTGCCTGCACCTCTCTCCTTTCTGCTTTCCCTATAAACGAGCAAGAATGTATCTTCTTTGGGAAGTTTCATCCTCACCTCCCCCTCTATTGTCTGGATTTTAGGTGTACGCCCTGTTGGGTGCAAATCCAGCAAAGATTGAATCCCTCTGGAGCAGAGAAATCCCAGATTATAACACAGGTTCCAAGTCTATAATGCTAAAGCCACAACATAGCACCACATTTATTAGATAGTCCTCACTTTTTATAAAGGAAAATGTTAGAGGAACTCATAACAAATGCAAGCTGAAAATCATTAATTTTTCCCATGTGGAAGCACTAGCTGTTCTTGGCTAAAAATCTGACACTCTGTAGGTGAAATTATTTGGGTTTTTTACTTGCTGCAGGAACGTTTTCCCTCTCTCTGCTGTAAGGTGAAATGCCATAGAAACTGTGAGATCCTAAAGTGTCACAGGCCTTTTCTAAAAGAGGTAGGGTCTGTGGCTGGCCCCTATCAGGAAAAATTATTCTGTTGCATACTGGATTGTCTGTGCAGACCGTGCTGGAGGATTTTATCATGCCATGCCATGCTCCAAACGAGGCCAAAACAAGGAAGCGCAACAGGATTTTATCAGCATTCCTGAACTGCTTGAGCCAGTCTAAAACTTAAGTTTTAGGTTTAAGCTTATCCCACATAAACTATGAACTGGGAGCAAGGGCAATGTTACTAACAAGTCCACTAGGCTGGTAAGTTGTGGGGTTTTTTTTCTTTTTTTTTAAATCAAAAATGTTTATCCTTACCTCAGTTGCTTGGGGAGGGGGAGGAAAAAGCTGTATCAAATTTTAAATTTTTTTTTTCTTTTCTGAAATGTAGGTCTACAGCATCAGGACAAGAGCAAGGAAACCTCTTGGTTCTGAAGTTCAGCTACATTAAGACCAGCTAGAGCTGGAGTAAGCACAGCTGGGCGGGCGATATAAGAGCTGTTGACTCCTTCTGCATGGGGCAAAGGACACACATGAAGATGAAGAGCCAACCATTCTGGTTTTGCTATTGAGCCTTCTGTTTGTAAGGCCGTTTATGCGTCCCACAGTGTTGGAAAAAAACAAAAACCTAACTTTTCTTTCTTTCCTCATCTGAGCCTGCTGCAGCTGGGCAACCTAACTCCTTTCTGCTCCTTTAACAGTGTTTTGTTTTGTTCAGCTTGATATTTTTATAAACAGTCTCAATTGTCAGGAAAAAGACTCTCCCTTGACTACAGTGCGCCTCCTTTCAGGAATACAGTATTTTGTAGCTCTTTGTGCATCTATTTTTGTAGAAATACAGAAAGTTTGGGTAAGGATTGATGGGCTATTTTAGGATGACATATTTTTTTAAAAAAAATTGTAAAATTGTTAAGTTCTGTTTAAAGAACTTGCTCTCAGAGAAGCACTGGCAAAAAATGTATAAAATGCTATTTTTAGATGTCTGTGATGTGTTTGTGCATTTTGGTTTTTTTGTTTTGTTACCTCAAATGTCTATCTTTCCTTTCTTTTTAAAGAGCTAAACCTTCCTTGTTTCCACATTACTAGATTTTGACGTTTTTGTCCTTTTGTTCTAGCTTAAGCAAGTATAAATCGCACCTAAAGTTTCAGCCAAATATTTTTCCTGCTGGTGTTAGATTGTAGTAAGGGTGTTTTTATTTTCTTGCTTCTAAAGGTGGCTTTGTGCTGTGCTGATTGTCAGAAACCTGCAAACACCTTTAGCACGGAGCAAAGCCTGGGGTTACAGGAACTGCATTTCCAACCCATCCATTCTTTCAAAATGGACCAAATACTCTTATGGATTTAAATCAGACATGAGTTTGGGCCTCATCCATGATCCGTTGAAGCTGTTGAACACAGTCCCCTATGGGTTATGTTTCAGGCCCTCATAGTGCTCATAAATATCAGTATATTCTTACTTTAACTCACGAGGCAGGACTTTCAGCTAAGCCATTTCAAGGATGGTAACTTATAACATCATTATTCAGGAAAGAAATGTCCGTTTTATAAAAATGTGTGACTTGTGGAAACAAAATGTTTTCAACTAGCCTGATCTGTCTGCTGAGCACCTCAAGGAAAGCCCTGAAATTTTCAACTCCTATTGACTTCAAAATCTTTTTGTCTCACCTAAGATTTGCTGTGGGCCCTACGAGACCCCAGCTGCAGCTCCTGAATTTTGTAAGAAGTTGCATGTGCTCAGCATGCACAAATTCAGGCTTGGCTGCTATCTGGGTAAGAATCTGACCTTGGAAATGACGTGGCCACATCTAGCCACAGCACGCTGCAAAGTGTTTGGGAAACCCCATTTCTGGCCGGGGCCTTGGGTCTGACTTGCATAATAAGGATTTTAGTTGAAGCCAAGGTGAGCACGATGCAATCCTGAATAAGGGCTGTAAGATTACCCTTGACAGCCCCAGTCCTGCAGTGGGCTGGAGCTGGGTCAGCCCCCATGCCCAACCCTAGTGACTCCAGTGTGAGTGTCAGCATGTGCTTAGGTGGGGCTGAGAGCAGGGTCGGGGCATGGGTTGCCAGATCCTAGCTATTGCTTGGAGATGTTGCCTTTCTGCTCTGTGCACCCAGTGTCCCTCTGTAATATCTTCCAAGGCTCTTATAACCTATTATATTTCTGTTACCGCTGTTTTCAGACATCCTTGTCTGAATGACAAACCAGGTAAATGGAAACCAAGACATAAACACATGGCTGAGATAAAAAACAGTTTAATTTTAAGGCAACGAGCGTTGTAAATGTAGGTTTGTCAGGTGGAGACCACATGGATCTGCGTGTGAAAGGGGAGGGGGAGTGTTGGGATGTGCATGCCACTCCGAGGTTCAGGCCTCCCTCCCTGTGCTGCTGCTTCTCTCCAGGCTTTTTGAACTTGCTTCTGTGAGGTGTTGAGCGTTATCCCTTGCCACGTGAAAGGGCCTGACATGCTGGCACTGGAGGCATTAGGATTATGTCACAATTTGGCAAGACCCTTAAGTGTGTACCTTGCTGATTTGAAGTTTGAGACAGCGTAAAAGTGCTGAATGGACTATGCTTAAATATTCCTTTAAAATAGCAGGGTTGTAGTTTCTGTGTTGGGATGCTGAATTAAAAGTGGTGGGGGGTTTTTCCTCATCTTTATAGCCCATCAGCATTTCTTTCTCGTAATGAATTTCACTCTTGTGACAGTTCTATATATTATTGCTGCTCTGGTGGAGCTAGCTCCTCAATTCATCAATGAATTCATAATGCAAAGGGAAAACTATATGGGAGGTAACATAGTATTAGCTGCCATGGTTCACTTTCTTACCAGGACAGTATAGTTCAGGAAGTATCTCAAGAGTAAGAGTTCTGACTTAGGAATTCTGACAGTATTAGAAATACTGGGAGGAAAAAAAATCCAAGCTTTTTCTTTTTTCTTTTTTTTTTTTTTTTTTTAATTTTTCTGGCAAAGCTGGAAGGCAAAGAGGCAATGTATCCTCTTTGAACTTCAGGGCTGGAGAGTTTGGGTGGCAGGGTGAGCAAAAGAAAAGGCAACATTTCTTTTTGAGGTGTAGTGCGTTTGACTCCCTGAAATAATTTAAAGTCTAGCAAGAGCAGTCAGTTCATTGCCTTCCTCTTTGCAAGTTCAGATGATGAGGGACCTCCTTCTGTTCCCTATAGATGTCAAAGCAGAATGGGACAGGAAAAAACAGGCCCACAGTTTGCACTGGAATCCCTTTCTGGATTCTTTTATTGAGTTGATGGGTAGTGGGGATGAGTATGAGGTGAAGCTATTGCCTCTTCCACCTCAAGAACTACTGTTATGTGCCTGGTTTCCACTGCAAAATGAGTGTGCTGAAGGAACTTCTGTTGCTCTGCAGGCTCTGGGAGACAAGTGCCAATAAAAACCTGCCAACGTCTACAGCCATTCATGCACCAGTCAATCAACTTTGAAAGTCAAATTAATTAATTTTTTTTTCCTCAGTCACTAACCATCCCCTGTACTAGCAAGCGATTTGAAAGTAAAAGCACAAGTGCCTAGCAGTAGCCCTACTTCTATACTCTACAATTTGAAGGATGGGAAAGAAAAAATCCTTCCCTGTGACAAACTTTTAAGTTAAATTCAGCAGATTTACCTCTCTCTCTCTCTTTCTCTCTCTCTCTCTCACGCACACTTACACACACGCACAAATGTGCTTATGAGAAGCAGATGCTGTGATGGTTTTCTTCTTGAAAGAGGAGGGGGGCGCTTGCTCGCAACGTTGCAGTTACAGAGAACTGATGGCAGTGAGAAAGAAACAGAAATGTTAAGACTGCTCATGTTTCCACAGATAGGAAAAAAAGGCCCTTAAAATCAGGTCACAGACAACTTATGTGTCTTAACGCATTACTGAAGGATTGTTTCATTCTTTTTGTGTGTGGTGAGTTCTGATGCTGTCCCAAGAAAGTGGATGATTCATTTTGTGAGGACTTATAAAAAACATGATGTACTCTGTCACTATTTCTGGGAGAACATAGGGAAATTATTGTTTTATTTCAAGAAAATCTACATACTAAACTCTTTAAAGTTGTCCAGGATTTGATTTTATTCCTATTAATGTTGAGAAATCTGCTGTCAGTTTTTGTGTCTTCATTTGAAGACGGGGAGGGTTCAAGCTGTCCACCGGTTTTTGAAAAGCAGATACCAGTTTGTTTCAACTGGGCATTTCCATCCCAACAAGATGATGGAATAGTGCAGCTACTGACTGCCCAGCAGATTTGATTTCTGGAGAGCTGAATGAGCTACACTTGGCAATCGTAAAATGCACTTTGTTCTGATTCCTCCCTCACCAGACACACAAATTCAGTTCTCAGTTTATCTGATACCTCTTTCATAGTGTGAAGATCTTCAGTAAATGGCAGTTTTCTCTCAATCGTCTGCTTCTGCCTCAAAACATGCTTTCGAGGATGAATCTCTCATCACGGCTTTCAGAGAGAGCAGAGGTTGCAGGAGGGGAGTGTCATGTTTCCCCCACCTGCACTTAGGATCAGCTTGCCTGTACCCAGCCTTTCTGCTTCCAGGCTATTGTGTATGATGTCTTGCTCTCCTCCCACAATTCTTTATGTGTATGTATATATTTATATACATATATATACACACACGTGTAGCTATACCTGGTTCCTTCCATTCCACCCTCATGCTTCAAATGCACGTCCTTTGGAAGTGAGATGAATGACATCACTAGATCTCATCTGAGACTGAGAAAATGTTGGCATTTTATTGCATTCGCTGTAACCTCAGGAGTGAATGGAATTTTTCCATACGTGTAAAAAAACCAAAAACAAACAACAACAACAAAAACACAACAAAAAAAAACCCTTTCAAAACCCCTGATTTATTGTATCTGTAAAGATGACCATGGAGTAAGCAGAATTGTGTAGAGAGGTGCAATATATTGCCTTTCAGCAGACAAGCATATCTTTTTGAATATGATTCTATTCATTAATTTCAGGTACAAGCTTTTTCTCCGTATCAATGGACCAGCAACATGTATTTCTTAAAAATGATTTAGAAATATATCTATTTTTAAAATTGACTTCTTGGCTTTAATATGTCAGCCTTTGAGCTTTTAAAGGGTATTTGGATGATAAATATTGTTTGTGTGTGGATTTTTAAAAAAAGCTGATGCATGTTGTTTGGAACCGAAATCTCATGTAAAGCAGGAAGGTATTTAAAAATAAATACTGCTTTTACGTGTTAGCCCTATGGGCACAATCTGACAGTTGTGATGCAGGAAGATGTCCCTTTAAAGACTAAGGGACTCTTGCCTGAGCAAGGTAAAAATCCAGTCCCTGTGACAGAAGAGGCAAAGGTTGAGCTAGTAGAGCTGTGAGCAGAGATGATCCTCTCCAGCATTTTATCTAGATGGTTGGGCAGCCACTGCTCAGCATATTAAAATTAGGCTGTGTTGGCAGGTTTATACTTGCCCCGTCTTATGGGGTGAACTGCTTGCCAAGGGGAATTAGGGATGTCCCTGAAAACCTGTGTTTTAGCTGCCCTTGGTCTGCATGGTGCCCATGACCCTCTCCCTGTTCTTGCTCTGTGGCCTCCATGACACCACGGTGGGACCTGTGAAAGCTAGGCTGGAGTTCCCTGGGAAATGCAGGATGTTTTTAGCTCCCAGTAAAGATAGTTTAGGGATGGGGGTAATTAAAACATCACAGTTATCTCATGCACCTGCTCAAAGGCTCAAGCCTTCAAGATGGATCAGCTGTGCATCATTGATGATGGCCATTTGCATATAGGAGCCCGAATACTGCTTCCTCCCCTCGGTGTCTTTGGAAGTCTTCGATGTCATTGAGATCACTGGGACCAGCCTCGAATGCCTAAATTGCAGTCCAGTGTTGGCTGGCACAGCGTGGTGGCCTGGGGTCTGTTCCAGCATTGGTGGACATCAGTTGGAATCAGCATTGATTCTGGTGAGCTTGGGCTCAGGTAACT